GGGGGGCCTGCGCCGGGCTCAGCTGGCACTGGCGCTCTCCCGCCTTTTACATTGTGGAATTAGGGGCATCGGGGCAGCTCCCCAAAACGGCCGATGGATGGACGTAAGCAGGCAAACTGACACATGCGCAGGGACAAGGGGGTGCGCTGGGCAGGCGTCGCGTGGGTGGGTGCAGGGAGCCGGTCCTGACTCCGCAGCTGAGTCCCAGCGGTTCGTGTCGTCACTTTGGCTACTGGTCTCCGTGCGTCCACTCTCCCTGCCCCTCACTAGCCCGCCGCTGACACCTGGGAGGGACCCAGGTAGGGGTGTTTTTAATATCCCAGGTAGTTGTCATTTACAGCCAGACTGAGAGCCACTCTACCTTACCTTGCTACAGTGCCCGCCTCCTCTTAACTGGGACTTCCAGTACCCCTGGGACATCTCCCAGGCGGTCTATTGCTTCTCCTTACAGGCTCGATTCTCTCCATTTTCCGGATTTGGATGCCCAGCTTTGTTTGCCCTGAGCTTCACATTAGCCATTAGTAGGTCTGTGGCCTGGCTGTCCCTGTGTCACCCTTTCCAGTTTGGATCTGGAGAAAGGGAATTGGATCTATTGACTCTTTGCTACTATGAGTGTTGGGTGGGGCTTTGTGGCCCCTAGTCCTCTCCCAGGTTGCAGGCCAGCCAACCCCATGACTGCTAGCTGGGTGGTCTAGTCAGGGGTGAGAGGGGCCCACAGGAACCCATGGAACAAAATGGGCCTGCAGGAGTGCTGTGGGAGGGGCAGTTCCCCTTAGATTGACTTGCCTAGTCAGCAAGCACCTACCTCAGGACTTTTCCACTGGAAAACCATACAGTTTTTAAAGACACTTAGCTCAGAAAACGTATCATCTTTCATAATTCAGCAGTTTCCACAAGAGCACTTAATCAGAAAGCTAGGAGTTGGCTGTATTAGATGCAATGTTATACTCTGACCACTAAGATGAACAATGTCTCCTTTTTTAATCAACTAAAAAGAAACCCTGTGATTGATTGCTCTTCCAACTTTCCTTTTAATTTGGCGGAAAGAACTTGGGCTGGGGCTACTTCATAAATTTCTTGTTGCCAGATTTGGGAGCAGACATGCAGAACTGGTAGGAATGACACATTTCACTGGGCCTCAAGAGTCCCCTGGGGCGGGGGTGGGGTGAAGCAGAGGGTAGAGTCCTGTTTCTCTGGCGTCTCCAGAGTCCTAGGAGGCTTGCTAGGCCACATCACCTTTTCCTACAGTTGAGAACACCTGTTGCTTTGTTCCAGCCTCTTTGGAGAACAGAAGCCCTGCTTCTTTTGGCAACTGCTCCTCCCTTCACTCCAGAGTCTAGAGAGAGGCTGTACTCAGTGCACAGGACGCCTGGGCTCCAGCTGATTAGCTCAGGGTGGATCATGATTCAAGAGAGACAGATCAGAGGCCTTCCCTGGTCTTTGAACTGAACTTGCAAGGAAAGTATACCCTTCTCATGGCCTGCACATTGAGATGTAAAAATTACTGTATGGTGCCAGGTGGGTGCTGCAAATATCAAAGGGAACAATTTTTTTTTATCCTCACCTGACGATATTTTTTTCTATTGCTCTTCAGAGTGTAAAGGGGGAGAGAGAGAGAGAGAGAAACATTGGTTGCCTCCTGGGCGGGGCCGGGGATGGAGCCTGAAACCTAGGTATGTGCTCTTGGCCAGGACTGAACCCAGGACCCTTCAGTCTGTGGGCTGACGCTCTAACCACTGATGCTCTAATCCAGCTAGGGCTTGGGGGAACACTTTGTAAAGTTCATGATTGTCTAACCACTATGCTGTACACCTGAAACTAATACAAAATAATATTGAGTGTAAACTGTAATTGAAAAATAAAATTTAGCCTGGCTGGGCGTGGCTCAGCGGTTGAGCGTTGATCTGGGATCCAGGCGATCAGGGTTCGATTCCCGGTCAGGGCACATGCCCGGGCTGAGGGCTCCATCAATGACTCTCTCATCATTGATGTTTCTGTCTGTCTCTCTCCCTCTCCTTTCGTCTCTCTGAAATCAATAAAGATATATTAAAAAAAAAAAAGAAAAAAAAAATTTTAATATATAGGGTGTTCCCAAAAATGTATACACACTTTGAATAATTATAAAGGCAGTGTTTATTAAAATACATTTCATTTTCAAGATGTAATAGAATCAGCTGTTAAAAGTGTGTATATATTTTTGGGGGACACCCTGTATATAAAAATTAAGAGCACTGGCAATATTATCACTGCTACATGGTGGAAACCAATCCAGAGTGAGAGATAATCATGCTGATCTGCAGAGGGAAACAGACAGGAGACTCAGAGGCCTGACAGCACTGGTGTTCCTGACGTTTAGCTGTGCCCCTGTCCTTTCTGCTGTTTGGCTCTTCAATCCTCACTTCAACATGTGAAATGCCTCAGTCCTCCCAGTAATGCACACGTGTGTCAGTTACCTGTCGCCGCCAGAATCAGTGTCCCGCTGCCCTCGCTTCTGGGCATCACTTGCTCCCAACTCAAAGTCCAGGACAGATCTATCTGATTGGCTGAGTCTAGATCATCTGCCTGTGCTTTACCTTCAAGGGAGCTAGGAAAGCAAAGAGTTTTCAGCTTTTGTCAGGGGAGGTGGGCTCCACCTCCCACCAAGATGCAAAGGGTGGGGGATCTTCAAACACAGGAAAAAGATCCTGATGCAGGCAGCCCCAAATCCTCAGAGTCCGTTGCAGGGAGTAAGAAACCAAGGGCCCAAGATCATTCTTGTAAGAAGTTTGGAGGAGAAAGGAAAGGGAGTGGTAAACTGTGAAAACAGCAAAAGCAAAGGATCATTTCTTTTCTTTTTGGTAAGATTAAGGGGCCTGAGCAGTTTCACAGATGAGAAACAAGGAAGTCTCATGACAAGACAAAAGTAGCTGGCACTCCACTCTGCCTCTACAGCAGCAGGACGGAACTATTCAAAGGTGAGACCACTTTGGACAAAGGCCATTGCTTCTGAAATACAGGAACTAGAAACATTATTAGTGACTCTTCAAAAGACTCAGTTGTCTGTTGCCTTTAATTAACATCTAAATAGATAACATATTCTTCTATAATTATAATATGGAAATGTCTATGAACAAAATAGATAAATTTTTTGGCAAATGCCTAGGAAAGAATGGTCAAGGTCATCTGAGGTTTTAAGCAGCAGCATCTATGCAGCTGGGACGTGGTCAGTGTTTGGGGACAGAGGTAAATATCCGCAATCCATGCATTCCTTTGATTTCTTCTTTTAGTGCCTAAATAAGTAAAAGAGAATCATCATTTCTTTTGTATGTGACATTGATCACAACAAGTCCCTCGGAGAGTATCTTTATACAGTTCTGTATCTGCAGGAGACTTTGCACACACTTTTTTTCAGCAGTTTTTCCTTTTTGGGGGGAAAAACAATTTTTATTTTTATTTTTTTGAATCAGGATCTAACCTGTCTCAAAAATCAAAGAGGCATAAAAAGGCATACAGTGACACCTCCGTCCCACAATGCCCTCTATCCCCCAGTTCCCACTTCTATCCTCAAATAGAGAACTGCTGTTAGTTTCTTGTGTGTCTTTGCAAGGATTAAAAAATGCATATTCAAGCTACTATGAATATATATTCCACCCCACACTCCCTTTTTGAAACAAAAATGGTAGCACTTTAAACACAGTGTCCTACACTTTGCTTTTCCCCTAACTATTGGAGAGCATTCTGTATCAGGCATAACAAGCACCTTCCTTGTTTGCATCAGCATGGGATTCCATTACATGGATTTATCATAATTTTTCAGCCCATCCCCTAATGATGAAAGGCTGTTTTCTGTGTTTTGCTATTTCAAACAATGAATAGCTGTTCTTTAAAACCACACTATTTAGCACAAATTCCCCACTTTTACTTTAAAAATAAAGTTGTAAAATAACTATGAGACTTGTTTAAGGCTACAAATGGTGTCAGGGCACAAATCTGAATGAGCCACCAGTCAAATCAGTATCATTTCTCTGCAGTGCCAAGAGAGAAGCTACAGGACCCGAGGGAGGCGTGGACCACTGGAGTTTATAATCAGAGCAGAGGAAGAGTCAAAGTCCTTTATATTAGGTCCAAATCTGATCATCACAGTGGGGTGGACATTTTTTCCCCCAGTCTGTCCAGTAACCTCCCTTCTCCTGGGGAACAGTTCCTTTCCACTTTAACTGTGTATTGCTGGTGGGACTACCAAATGGCCTGGTACTGAGGGAGCTATGCGTCCCTGGCCCAGCCTGATTGGTTCAGTCAGGTATGGCACATGACACAAACCGGGACAATTAGAATCTCCCCTGGGATTTTTCAGTACAGAGCCTTCTCTCTTAGGTCACTATACTGGAATAATGTCAATTGGAGGCAGCTGGGGGCTGTGTTCCCCACCTAGAAGGGAAAGGCCATCTCTAGTAGGAGAAAATAAAGCCAACACTCAGAAGGTGAAAGTTCCGAGAGACAGGATATGAAAGCAAGCAAGCAAGCAGATGAACTTGTTTAAGACTCTGAATCTAGATATGCCAGAAACCAGGTAATTTCATTACATGGGCCAATCCATTCCCTTTGTTTGCTTATGTTAGTTTTAACTTGCTCTCTGTCACTTACAAGTAAAAGAATCCAAACACATGTGGTAAGGTTTATCAAGTTAGGAGCCTTAGAGATAATTTAGCTCTATCCCCTTCTTAGATAAAAAAGAAAAAGAAAAAAAAAAAGAGTTTATCCCTTATCCAAAGTCAGCAAGTGACTAAGAGATAGGACCTGAACCCAGGTATCCTGATGTCCTGGCCACCTGTTTCCCTTGGGCTCCTATCCAGCCTGATGCCAGGAGCTGCTGTTGTGCTGAGAACCAGGGAGCTGCCCTACAATCTCCATGTTCACATACAAGCCCCCTCAACTCTGCAGACAAGCAGGATGACCTGGCCATTCGTGCAGGAGGCAGCCCAGGAGCTGGACAGCTGGGAGTGGAATGGGAAGAGAGGGACAGGGCAGCATTGGGCCCAGGAGTGCAAGGGAGAGGAAGGGGGAGAGAGAGATAGAAACATCAATGATGAGAGAGTCATTGATCGGCTGCCTCATGTGCCTGGACCGGGAATCGAACTGTGATCTCCTGGATCACAGGTTGATGCTCAACTGCTGAGCCATGCCAGTCAGGCACTTGTATTCAGTTTTGAATAAAAGTCATATTCCCACAATTGGATTCCCGATAGTTCCAGATTATATTTTTCTCAGGTCCTAAGTCCTGTCTGCATGACCATGGTATTGCATTCTTCTTTCCTAGGACTCCTAGTAAAATACCATCACCACCAGGCAGGCCCTTTCGGATGTAGGAGACTGGGGCAAAGGGGTGTTGTTGCCTCCACTGACCTGATTTACCATCTGGTGCTGCTGGACAGTCCTCTTCTCCTTAAATTCTTCTGACTCGATGTGGATTTCATACATTGCACCACAGCCTCCTGAAATAAATGCAATTTGAAAGCATATCAATTATTAAGTTAGGGCAGCCACAGTCTCACATGTCTTTGAAGTACCCACAATCTCAAGAAGGTCTGAATACTACTGTCAGCACAAAGTTGCTAAGACTGTTAGAAAAAGGTCACAGCTTACAATCTGACCACATGTTCCTGGCAGGCTGCCTCCATCCAAAATGTATTCCTGCTTTTGCAAAGCAGTTGCGCCACTCAGGATTATCACTTGTGGGGTAGGAAAGATAAGGCACAGAGCATGGAAAACCTAGGAAATGTAGGTTTTCCTAGTATTTCCTTTTATTAAGCCAACAAATGCCATGGAAGAAGGTGGGGGGACAGAATTTCAGTGTTCCACCTTCAAAATACAGCAGCAATTGTTTTTTTAGTGCAATAATACACTTAAAATTTGGTTTGAAAACTGTATAACACTATCCAAAAGGAAAGGAACAAGGCTGTGTAAGAGACAGCATTACAATAGAAGCTGCAGACACGCGGTCATGGAGCTGCTGGGGACTCTCCAGCACCTCTTGCTCTGTAAGCAGCACTGAGTGCTTCCTCCTGGGCTTCTGCAGGGCAGGAGCAGCTTTCTGGTGAAGCGCTCAAGGTGGAGCTTGTGGTGGACTCATCCACTCCCTGGCCAAGCTTTGTCTCCACATAGATGGAGAACTAGCGCTGGTGACTATGGAGAAACCGTGCTGCTCTAACATAAAACCACATGGGCAAGAAAGATAATAACCCCCATGCTGTCAACACCAGGCCACTGTATGAGAAGTGCTCTGTGATGCTTCTCTTATGAGCTCTGGGAGTCCAAGCTTTGATTGAACCAAGGTCCCAGCTTTAATTCCCTTTCTGTTCTCCGTTCAGGGCTGGGTAGAGGTCAAGTTCCAGCTCTGCCACTATTTGGGCCTGGGCAGGTACAGAACTGGTGACATCAGGCTTCAGCATTGCTCTGAGACCCTGCAGAGTGCTCACCCTACCTACCATTCCAAAGGATCTTTAGATCCTCCAGTTTCCAGAATAAAAACTATTTTCTAAACCTTCTCCCAACCTTTGTAAATGTTATGCTCTCAGAAAAGCCTGTGAGCCGCTGTAGCAACGCAGAGTGGCAGAGACTGAGTCTGGGTGTGTGTGGGAGCCAGGTGCACGCCCACTGCAAGCTCAATGGGTGTGTCTGAAAAAAGGCCCTATCTTCCCCATCCTGTGGGTGCAGAAGGTGACTACCCAGCCAGCCTGAGCTCTGAGGTGCCAGTGGCTATCTGAAAAGGCAGGATCTGGCTGGGGCAGGAAACTGGGCTCAGGCCAGAGTCTGCCAGGGGCTCTGGTTCTGGTTCCAGTTCTGTTGCCTCCTCCCTATGAGGAACTGGGCAGGTTCCTCAGCCTCCCTGGGTTCCTCTTCTCATGGGGAAAGTGAGGCAGTTATTTTCTCAAAGGGAGAAACTCCTCCCGGGGTCCACTCCAGCTGACATTCAAGGGTATCAGAAGAATGTGGGAGAATTTTTGTAAAGCCCATCTCGCAGTCAAATGAAAGACTGTGGACCAGAGCCCACGGGTGACTCAGGGACCTTGTCCTAGTTTCCCTCAATGTTTCTATATCCCCAACTTCCACATCTGTCCCAAAGTCACGCGTATTGAGAAGTGATCATGTTCCCTCCGCCAAGTACCCCCAACCCTTTGCCCCTCCAGAGGGCAACATCCTACCAAACTCTGTGGGAAGATGAGAGAAAACCTTACCTGAAATGTCGGTGACTTTGATAGCTGTAGCTTGAGGAAAGTTTTCTTTGAGAATTTGGGTTACTTTGAGCTCCCCCTCAGTCTGTGAGGCAAACATCCGCTGGGCACAGCAAAGAAGAGGAAGCTGCCACAGAACAGAGAAGAGGCATGGCTGAGCAAGATGCTGCTGCCCCCGCTGGGCCACGGTGCAGGACCCACCTGCCATTGTCCTACTAGGCTGTCCTACTAGGCAGGGCCGGCAGGGCAGGCAGGGCCATGAGCTAAGTCAGAGGGGCTGTGTGGTGTCAGATGTCCATTTAAGCTCCCTAGGATACAGAATACACTTTCTTAGGTGGGGTGGGGGTAATTGTAAATAACTCACTTTGACTCTAGAGACAAGGCCCCTAACCTAATTCAAAAGATGTTTAACTTGCCATGATAATGCCATGAGAGAGAGACTATCACGATGGCAGTTTTATAGGTGAGGAAATGGGCATTAATATGCCCAAGGCTGGATCTGTTGGTAAAATGCAGAGCTGGGAGAGGCCTGACAGTTGTGCCCTGCTAGCCCAAGATGCCACTGACCATGTACTGGTGGGGCCAAATGCCACCCACCCTTTAGGCCTTATTAACATTTCAGTCTCTCCAGTGGGATATGACCTTGTGACCTACTGCTCAATAAGCCAGCAACCCTTTGCAACATGAACTAATTCTCACTGGGGAGAGGAAGCAGAATTCTATTAAGTGACTTGAAGGAGAAACATTTTTAGATTATTTGCCATTGGCAACTACTCTCCCTTCTCTGCTAATGGCTACCACAGGGAGCCAGTGCTTCTAAGGGGAACATATCTCAATCCTTAGAGGTGAAGGGGCAGAAAACCAGGTCAGCAGCCCCTTCGCTGGGTTGATGCTGAAAAGGGAGACTGAAAATAAGAGTATGGCAGGCCTTGAATGTCAAGCTAGACTTTGGACTTAGACATCTTGGTGTCAAAGTAACCTGCACAAAACAGTGCCTTTTGAAGCCAGTCAGGAAAGATGCCCGGATAAGAGCGAAGAGAGTAGCACCAGCTTGGGTCCCTGGCTGGAGGATGGCAGGTGGGAGAACACCAACACTGTTTAGCAGGTGCTGGTGCTAAAGGTACCTCCCTTCCACTCCTCAGTCCTACCCATCCTCAAGCCTCTCCTGATGGCCCAGAGCAGGGTCCTGTGTTATAGAATCTCGGAGCACCTTCTTTAAAATGACCCGGCACTGGCATTTTCACCATCTGGTCTCAAAGGCCATGACTGAGTCTGTCCTGCTACTGCCACCTTCCAAAGCTGAGCCAGGGCAGGCCCTCAGGAGGATGTGGGGGATGGAGGGATGGAGGGATGGATGGATGGATGGATGAGCAGGAGAAGAACCACACAATTCAGGACATGCCTACTGGGCAATCACAAAGAAGCCTAGCAGGCAGCTGAAATGCAGCTCAGGAGAAAGATCTGGACTTAGACTGAGTGCTGTGTGGAGGGAGAGAAACTTAATGTTGTGCTGACCTGGGTAAGACTGGGGTGTGGGGTGGGGTGCAGCCTCTTCTGAGGAAAGCACCTTGGGGGGGCAAGGGCAGAGAAATCAGGTGGCAGGCAGGGGGTAACCACTAAGGAGTGAGGGTGGTTAACACTGCAGATTTCTCAGGAGCCTTTCCTTCATCTTAGCAGATCTGTGGGCAGCGGCCTTTAAAACCAGGCAATCTACTGACAGAATCCCCAGAGGCCGCCAGTCCGCGCTGAAAGTCACCGGTAGAACTGCTTCGGGGAGGCAGGTCCAGGACCAGCAGGGGAGAAGGAAGGATATGAGAGGAGAAGGGAAGAAGCGGATGAAGTGAGGAAAGGATGGATCAGAAGGGGAGAGAGAAAATTAGGAGAGCGCGTGGGGAGTGCCCTCTGCTGGGCGTCGCCTCGGGCGTGTGGGATCTGCGCGGTCAAGGTCAACCGGGCGGGGCGGACGTTGCCCACCGCGGCGGTCCAGACCCTGCCACAGTGCCCGCACCCGCTCCGCGACTCCGGGCTGGGACTCCTATGTCTTTGGATCGATAGATCAACATTGCTTTTCCCGCGCCGGCTGTCCTGGGGCTGTTTAGGTGTCTGCTCCCCTCGCCCGACCTCCACTCGGCTCGCGAGGCCCCGCAGCGCGCCCGGGCCTGAGGCTTCTCCGAATGCCGGTGGCCCGGGCCCACCGAATGAGCCAACCTACGAATGAATGAGGGAGAGGAAGGAGGGGAGCCCCTGTCTCGACCGCGCGGCCCCTCCGCAGTCCCGCCCGGGGGCGAGCGCCTGGCCCCTGCCCGTGCTCACCCCGCGGCTCCGTGCTCACC